CAAAATCCATAGAAATTGAATCCCACTTCCAAGGATTGGACCTTTCCTTGAGGCCTACGATGCTCAATCTTCACTTTCTGACATGTCAAATACTTGGCCACAAATTCAGCTACATCTTTCTTCATATTGGGCCGCCAAAAAGTCTTCTTCATATCCTTATACAACTAATCCCCTCCAGGATGCATTGAATAAGGAGAATTATGAGCTTCCTCCATCAATCTTTGCTTCAAATCTCCACGACTTTGTGGCACACACCATCTTCCTTTGAGACGAATACTTCCTTCATCACCAATGGTGAAATCCAACTTTTGACCTTCATCGATCTTTCTCTTTATTGCTTTTAACCTCTCATCTTCCAATTGGCTTTCCCTTATCTCATTATAAATGGATGGTTGAATCACCAATGCATTCAACATCCTAGTCACTTCTCCATGTTCCATCACCTCCAAATTCAATTTCTGGAATTCCACACACAACTAATCTGGCACTACTATTACATTCATCGAGTGTTCTGACTTCAAACTCAAAGCATCTGCCACAACATTAGCTTTTCCTTCATGATATTGAATGTCCAAATCATAATCATTGAGAAATTCCAACCGTCTCCTTTTCCTTCCATTCAAATACCTTTGGGTGAAAATATAGTTCAAACTTTTGTGATTTGTAAAATTCCTACAAGTCACCCCATACAAATAATGCCTCCAAATCTTCAAAGCAAACACTATTGCAGCTAACTCCAAATCATGGGTTGGGTAATTCACCTCATGTGGTTTCAACTGCCTTGAAGCATACGTAATCACTCTTCGATTCTGCATTAAAACACACCCCAATCCAAACTTCGATGCATCACTATACACCTCATATAGATTGCTTCCATCAGGCAAAGCCAACATAGATGTTGTGGTTAACCTTTCTTTCAAGGTCTGAAACACCTCTTCATACTCTTGTGTCCATACTAACTTATGCTCCTTTTTCATCAAACTTGTAATGGGCCTTGAAATCCTTGAAAAATCCTTCACAAACCTTCTGTAATAGCCTACTAAACCCAAGAAACTTCTCACATCCGACACATTCTATGAGGTTGGCCATTCATTGACAGCTCGAATCTTGCTTGGATCAACTGAAACTCCTTCTTTGGAAATCACATGGCCCAAAAATGCCACTTTTTCCAACCAAAACTCACACTTTGACAACTTAGCATACCCCTAGTGCTATCTTAAACATGATAGTACTTGTCTTAAATGCTCTTCATGCTCCTCTTTATCCTTTGAATAAATCAAAATATCATCAATGAACAATACTACAGACTTATCCAAGTATGGCCTGAAAATCCTATGCATCAAATCCATGAACACTTTTGGTGCATTGGTCAAACCAAACGACATAAATTTGAACTCATAGTGACCATAACGGGTCCTGAAAGCACTCTTTGAAATATCTTGCTCCGTAATCCTCAACTGGTGATAACCTAACCTCAAATCTATCTTCAAAAAACTCCAGCCCCTTTCAACAGATCAAACAAATCATCGATCCTTGGTAATGGATACTTATTCTTCACTGTAATCTTATTCAATACTCGATAATCAATACACAACCTCATACTTCCATCCTTTTTCTTTACAAACAACACTGGAGCTCCCCAGGGTGAGGAACTAGGTCGAATGTAGTCTTTCTCCAACAAATCCTCCAACTGAGTCTTCAACTCTTTCATCTCAGCTGGAGCCATCCTATGTAGAGCCTTAGAAATAGGTCCAGTACCAGGCACTAGGTCGATAGTGAACTCAACATCCCTCACTGGTGGCATACCAGGAATCTCATCCAGAAATACATCAGGAAACTATTCTATAACCAGAATACTTTCCTTACCCTTCTCTTCCTCACTTCTAACTTCTTGAACATTACACACAAACAGAGGATAACCCTTCTTAACAAACTTTTGTAGTTGCGTTACAGAAATAAGTCTTAACCCTGAACTCTTCCCTTCATTTCTGTAAGTCACTCTAGTTTTACTTGGGCTATTCAATGTAACCTTTTCAGCAGCACAGTCAATCTTGGCTTCATACTTTCTCAACCAATCCATACCAAGAGTTACATCGAGATCCTTCAAATCGAACTCGATCAAATTCGACGGAAACTCTACCCCAAAAATGGAAAGAGGTACACTCTTAAACAACTTTGAACAATTCCTCACTTCCCCAAACGAAATAGACACATCTAGAGAAACTGACTCAAGACTCTCTAACCCAAGACTTTCAACCACTCTCTTAGAAATAGAAGAATGGGATGCACCCGAATCAAACAAAACTTTCACAAACAAAGAAATTATAAAGAAAACACCAATTACCACATCATTAGAAGTTTCAGCCTCACAGTTTTTCATCACGAACACACGACCCTTTGGGGCACCTCCTGCAACGCTACTGGTTCCAACCTTAGGTGCAAATCTACTAGGTTAAGATGGTTTGGTTGGAGTATTAGGCTCTTTCACCTTTCTTGATTTCACATCAGCCTCTTTCTTGAAACACTGATACTCACGGTGTCCAAATTTCTAACAGTAACAACAAGTTACCTGTTTCCCTTCACAGTCCCTCCCTAGGTGGTCTTTCTCACATCGCTTGCAGAAATACTTTCGCTCGGGTTTCTCACCCCTTTGGTTTCCATCCCCTTTAGCATTGATCGTATGGCCTCCATTCCCTTTTCCATAGCTCCCTTTGTTGTCCCTCCTATCTCCAAAATTCCCTTGGTGGTTACCATTGGGCCTATGCCTCTTTTCACCCCCGTGAAAAGAGTCCTGGTTTTTCCTTTTCTCTCCAGAATGCTCTATCTCTCTCCCCTTGATCCCGTATAGGTGGACTGCTCGGCCATAGACTTCATCTAGGGTCTCAAAAGTAACTCCCACTAGTTTCCCTTGGAGGGTCAAGGTTAGGCCTTGCTCAAATCTCTAAGCTTTGATGGTTTCAGTGGGAACTACTTCCGGGGCAAACCTTATCAACTCAATGAAATTGTTGTAGTACTCATTGATAGACATGTTCCCCATTCTTAGGTTAGTAAACTCCATACACTTCTTCTTTGTCAGGTAAGAAGGGTAAAACTTCTCCCTCAAGGCTTCCTTAAAGGTATATATCTGGTTGAGACCTTGGCCTTTACGACCTACGCAGGGTAGTAGATTGAGCATTTGCATTGTCAGTTTGACTCTGACTTTTATCAACAGCTGCTTCCAAAGCACTTTAATTGTCAGTTTTTTCAGTTTGACTCTATTGCTCATTGATATGTCGTGTTTTGTGTATATTATTTGGCTTATTTTTAGTTAGTTTTGTTAGTTTAGTTGAGTATTTGAGTCCGTTTTGGCGTATTTTGCTTTAGTTTGGATAATTCAATGCTTTTATGGGTAGTTGTGTTGTTTTTGATGAATTTCAGGAATAATGGAACTAATTTGGATGAGTTATGGATCCATGAAGTAAGCCAAGGCCCATGAAGTTGAAGAATTGAAGAAAAGGCCCTTTTAGAGGTAGGCACGGCCGTGCCTACTATGAGGCACGTCTGTGCTTCTAAGTATATAGCAGCGCCTTACTGAAGACCTTAGGCACGTCCGTGCCTAGAAAGGGGGCACGTCCGTGCCTAGGTAAAGAAGCAAGCACGCCCATGTTTAAACACCCAGCACGTCCGTGCCTAGAAGAGCAAGCAGGCACGTCCGTGCCCAGCAGTCAGGCACGTCTGTGCCTGGAAGACAGACTCATCAGCGTTTTTATTTTTAGAGAGGCACGTCCGTGCATCACACTAGGCACGTCCGTGCCTCCTGGAATTTCAGTGCGCCAAACTTAGGAGTTAAATTTTATCTTTTTAGGTTTGTTTATAAACCTTTTAGCATTGTTTTGAGGACGATTCATTAATTAACCCTTGTTTTTTAATTTTTTTATTCTCTCCTAAAGACCTAGTTCTCCATTATTATTTTCCAAGTTTTTGTAATTCAAGATTCAAGCTTTCTACTTTCAATTTTATTCAAGATTTGGTATTTATTTTTCATCCTTTGTTATTTAATTATGTTTTCATTATTTATTATTGTTTTTGTTTCTTTAATCATGTGTGAGTAGATTCTTTAATTCAAGGTCTAGTGTAGCCCTATTATTATTGATGCATGAATTAAATCTTTAAATTCTTTAATAACTTTAACAATTGAATTGCTAAATTGATTGTGATTATGCCAATTCTAGGTTAGACGTAACTATAGTATTGCAATTATTCCATTGTTTTTATCACAGCGAGAGTTGGGTATAAACGGATTTGAGTAAATTAATTTAGGGTTTGATTCATATCACGAGAGTAGTTATGTTTGATAATTGGGAAGTCAGAGTAATGTGTTTAATGTCTTTAATATGCATGATACCATGAGAATAGGATTGATTGTATGTTAGGGAAGCCATTGATACTCGAGAGAGATCCGTGGTATTTATTAGGGTTTACTTTTCCCCGTTCGATTGAAATCGTATGTTAAGGGTAGAATTACAATTGCATCGATAATAATTGTGGTGAAACTAGATCTTGGATGTTTGAAGTACTTGATTTAATCATCTCATTTAGTTTATTTTCGAACTCTTCTCATACTTAGTTCCGTAGATAATTGATTATAATTGATTCTTGCTTAGTAGCAATTCGTGTCTATTTAATTATTTTTGAACCTTAGTCTCTTGGGATCCGACCCTTACTTGCCAGTCTACATTAGTATTGGTCTCTTAGGTTATTTTTGATAGGTACGCGACACGCCTACGAAATTTTGGCGCCGTTGCCGGGGACTAACGGTTTCATTAGAATTATTTGTGATTCATCTTTACTAAGTTTATTTTGTTGCTTCGGCTATTTTCCCTTGTGTTTTTGATACTTTTCTCTAGTTTTTCTTGTGCATGCCCACACGACGCTCAGGTTCAGATGATCTTGAACCATTTGATTCTGAGATCGAGGCAACTATAAGAAGAAGGAGAACAAGGACCAGACGCAGGAGAAACATGGTAGACCAACCAACGAAATCCCTCTTGGAGTACGGTATTCTTGATACGACTACCGGAGTCCTTTCAAGCATCATAAGACCACCAATCACGGCTCAGCACTTCGAGCTCAAGCCACAGCTCATACAGTTCATCTCCAATGATTTATTCGCAGGGCTACCACATGATTGCCCCGTAAGTCATATAGATAGCTTTTTAGAGAAATGTGATACTATGAAGTTGAATGGTGTTACAGATGATGCAATCAGACTACGCCTTTTCCCCTTCTCACTTCGAGACAGGGCAAAGGAGTGGTTAAGAGATGAAGGCACTAGCTCGTTCGATACATGGGACAAGTTAGTGAAGGCCTTCCTAGTGAAGTTTTTAGGGAATGAGAAGACTACAAGATTGAGGAATGACCTACAAACTTTTAAGCAGTCAGATGATGAGTCTCTCTATGAGGCTTGGAGGAGATTTAAAAGATTGCAGAGACAATGCCCTCACCATGGCATTCCAGATTGGATTTTGATGCAGACCTTTTACAATGGCATGACTCATGAGTTCCGTATTTACATAGATGCTGCGTTAGGAGGTTCTCTCTTGATAAAGAACCCCACTGAAGCTAGGGAGCTCATAGAGAAGATGGCGGCCAATGATAACTATCATCCTAGAGGTCGAAACACTGTGAAAAGGGAGGTAAACTTGATTTTGACGCTTTAACTATGCTAACTAGTTCTATGCAGGCACTAACAAGCAGGTTTGATAAGTTCCAAGCAAGAACTTCTAACACCCCACAGGAGTTGTGTCTGTTATGTAATGTGCAGGGTCATGTTGCTCCAGATTGTCCACAGATTTCGCAGAATACGGAAGAGATGTTAATCGAGCAAGCCAATGCTTTCTACTCCTCTAACCCAAAGAGGCCTTATGACCCTTATTCCAACACCTACAATGAAGGATGGAAACACCATCCTAACTTCTCATACAAAAATTCCCAAGCACAACAAAACCCCCCACCACCACCTCCACCCAACACCTACAACCAACCACCACCTGGTTTCCAACAGAAAACACCCAATGCCCACCAACCAATGCAACAACAACCTCAGAAATCAAGCCTAGAGGTGACATTAGAGAGCTTTATAATCGTAACAAACAGTGCCATCCAACATCAAAATAGCTCTATCCAACAGTTGAAGGCTCAGGGTAAACTTATGGAGAATCAGATAAGCCAATTGGCCAACCAATTTAGCCAAGCCCTAAAGACTCCAGGAACCTTCCCGGGCAAGACTGAACAATCTCAAAAAGGCCAAATGAATGTCGTCACCCTGAGGAGTGGAAAGCAGTTGGAAGATCCTCCTACCAAGGAGCCATCAAGAGAGGTCATTGAAGAAGTGGGTGCAAGTGAGAAGGAAGTAGAAGATGCTAGAGTCGAGGAAGCATGAAAGGAAGCATGAAAGGAAGCACCACCAAAGCCACCTGCTCCATATATGCCTAAGGTTCCTTTTCCTCAAAGATTAGCACAAGCTAAACTTGAGAAAAAGTTCAGTAAGTTCCTCGATGTTCTCAAAAAGCTTCATATTAATATTCCATTCCTAGATGCCATATCTGAGATGCCTTCTTATGCAAATTTTTTAAAAGATATGCTATCTAACAAGAGGAAATTAGAAGAGAATACTATAGTTGCTTTGAATGCAGAGTGCAGTGCTATTTTGCAGAACACTCTCCCTAAGAAATTAGGAGATCCAGGTAGCTATTCAATTCCAGTGAAGCTTGGAGATATTGAGATCAATAGGGCACTATGTGATCTAGGTGCAAGTGTGAGCCTCATGCCACTGTCTATATGCAAGAAGCTGCAGATGGGTGAACTCAAACCCACACGCATATCTCTACAACTTGCAGACAGGTCAGTGAAGTTTCCTTTGGGTGTACTTGAGGATCTACCCCTCCGAGTAGGTAAGTTTTTCATTCCATGTGATTTTGTTGTGATGGAGATGGATGAGGATGTGAATGTTCCTATCATACTAGGTAGACCTTTCTTAGCTACTGGAGGTGAAATTATAGACATGAAGAAAGGTAAGATTACTTTTGAAGTAGGTGATGAAAAATTGGAATACTCACTTTTGAATGTTATAGGTGCTCCTTCTATGGGAGACATTGTTTGTTAGGTTGATGTGCTCGATGAGCTGCAGAATGAGCAACTTCCCTTGAATCAGAATGATGATGCTCTTGAACAAGTGCTATTGGGGAAGGAAAATGATAATGGAGATTGGCAGTTTAAGGAGTATACCAGGTTACTTGATGAAGCAAAGGCCGATCCAAATCAGAACCCGATCAGAGAGACATTGGAAGTAATGAGTATTGGGGAGAGTTCTAAGCCTCCCGAGGTAGAGTTAAAACCCCTCCCCTCTAACTTAAAATATGCATATCTTGGTCCAAATAATTCATATCTTGTTATTGTCAATGCTGAACTCAAGGACACAGAATTGGAGCAATTGCTCAACGTTCTAAAAACATATAAAAGTGTCATTGGGTACACCATTGATGATATCAAGGGCATTAATCCTTCTTTCTGTATGCATAAGATCATTCTTGAAAACGATCATGCCTCTTCTGTAGAACCTCAGAGAAGACTTAATCCTAATATGATGGAGGTAGTTAAAAAAGAGGTTTTGAAATTGCTTGCTGCAGGTATAATCTACCCTATCTCTGATAGTAAGTGGGTTAGCCCTGTACAAGTAGTACCAAAGAAGGGAGGTATGACCGTTGTCAAGAATGACAAGGGTGAGCCAGTCGCCACTAGAACTGTCACAGGATGGCGAATGTGTATAGATTATAGAAAGTTGAATAAGGCCACCTTGAAGGATCACTTCCCCTTACCTTTTATTGATCAGATGCTTGAAAGGTTGGCAAAGCATTCCTTTTTCTGTTACTTGGATGGATATTCAGGTTTCTTTCAAATTCCCATCCGTCCCTGTGACCAGGAAAAGACTACTTTCACATGTCCATATGGCACCTTTGCATATCGCAGGATGCCATTTGGATTATGTAATGCTCCTGCCACCTTTCAGCGATGTATGATGGCAATTTTCTCAGGACTCATAGAAAACTCTATGGAAGTATTTATGGATGATTTCTCTGTCTATGGAACATCTTTTGATGTATGTCTTGAAAATTTGAAAAAGGTGCTCCAAAGATGTAAAGAAGTTAATCTAATCTTAAACTGGGAGAAATGCCATTTTATGGTACAATAGGGAATTGTCTTAGGTCATGTCGTGTCTAATAAGGGTATTAAGGTTGATAGAGCTAAAATAGAGGTCATAGAGCGCTTACCACCTCCTAACTCTATAAAAGGAGTTCGAAGTTTCCTTGGTCACGCAGGTTTTTATCGGCGTTTTATTAAGGATTTTTCGAAAATTGCTAGACCTTTAACTGAGCTATTGGCCAAGGATGTCCCTTTTGTCTTTTCTAATGCTTGTCTTGAAGCTTTTAACAGGTTGAAGGAAGCTTTAATCACTGCTCCAGTAATGCAACCCCCAGATTGGAGTCTGCCGTTTAAAATCATGTGCGATGCTAGTGATTATGCGGTAGGAGCCATGTTGGGGCAAAGGAAGGAGAAGAAGCTCCATGCCATATACTATGCTAGCAAGACTTTGAGCTCTGCTCAAATGAATTATGCCACAACTGAAAAAGAAATGCTAGCAGTTATATATGCTATTGACAAGTTTCATTCTTATTTGGTAGGTTCTAAAGTCATCATACATACAGATCATGCAACATTGAGGTTCTTGATGACCAAAACACATGCCAAGCCTAGGTTGATTTGATGGATTCTATAGCTACAGGATTATGACATCGAAATCAGGGATACCAAAGGGGCAGAGAACGTTGTTGCAGACCATCTTTCCTGCCTTCTCCTTGACCCTGAGGATGGAGATGATACACCTTTTGATGATTCTTTTCCTGCTGAACATTTACTAGCTTTATTACATACTAAATCCCCTTGGTTTGCTGACTTAGCTAATTTTCTCTCAACAGGTACAATGCCTCATGGATACTCTTCTCAACAAAGGAAGAAATTTCTTTTTGAGGTAAAGAGATATTTTTAGGACGATCCATTCCTATACAAGCAATGCGCGGATGCCATGATCTGAAGATGTGTTCCAGAAACTGAGGTAAGCAACATTATTTCACATTGCCATGACTTACCCTGTGGTGGACATGCAGGCCCCTCGAAGACAATTGCAAAGATCTTGCAATGCGGATTTTATTGGCCTACTATGTTCAAGGATACCTATGCCTATGTCAAAGCATGTGATAGATGTCAACGGACGGGCACAATTTCTAAGAAGAACGAGATGCCACTTAACAACATACTCGAGGTCGAGTTGTTTGATGTGTAGGGAATAGATTTCATGGGTCCGTTTCCCTCTTCTCATGGCAACCGTTACATGTTGCTAGCTGTTGATTATGTTTCAAAGTGGGTGGAAGCAATAGCCACTCCAACCAATGATGCTCGGGCGTTAAGTAAGTTTTTCAAGAGAGTTATTTTCCCTCGTTTTGGTTTACCACGTGTTTTGATCAGTGACAGGGGAACACATTTCACGGAGCATCGGTTTAAAGCAATGTTGAAGAAATATGGAGTACAACACAGACTTGGCATTGGCTATCACCCACAAACTAATGGCCAAGTTGAAGTGTCCAACCGAGAAATCAAATCTATCTTGGAGAAAACGGTTGCAAGGATAAGGAAGGATTGGTCAGTTAAGATTGATGATGCGCTATGGGCATACCGAACAGCCTTCAAAACGCCTATTGGTACAGCCCCATATAGACTTGTGTATGGAAAGGCGTGCCACTTACCAGTCGAGCTAGAACACCGAGATTTTTGGGCTATTAAAAGTTTGAACTTTGATGCCAAAGCGGCGGGAGAGAATAGATTGTTACAACTCAACGAATTAGATGAGCTTTGCCTCGATGCCTATGAAAGTTCAAAGTTGTACAAAGAAAAGACTAAAAGGTGGCATGATAAGGGTCTTGTGAGAAGGGAGTTCAAAGAAGGGGATCAAGTCCTTCTTTTCAACTCTAGGTTGAAATTATTCCCTGGTAAGCTTCAGTCTAGGTGGTCGGGACCGTTCAAGATTAGGAAAGTCTTCCCCTATGGCACTATTGAGTTGGAAAACACAAGAGGGGAACCTTTCAAAGACAACGGACAGCGAGTGAAGCACTACCGAGTCGGTGATCCCATCGATGAGGGGGTGGATATCACACTCTCGTCCCCATCACTAAGCTCTTGAGAAGCCATACGGTCAAGCTAAAGACGTTATAAACAAGCGTTAAATGGGAGGCAACCCATTCTTGAGTTTTTGCTCTTATTTCGTTAATCTTTCTTTATTATTTTCATTAATTTATCTTGTTTTTTTTTATTTGATTCTTATGTCTAGTTTTTGTTTTGTTTGTGGTGTTAAATTAGGTGAAAAGTAAGCAAAAAGAAGAAGAAACAAGGAGGAAAAGCGCTACGAAGAACGAAAAAGGAGAAAAAACCAAAATCTGCAGAGGCACGTCCGTGCCTCTGAGGCAGAATGTTTGGGGGTTCAATTTCTAGAGAGGCACGTCCGTGCCCCCCCATTAGGCACGTCTGTGCCTCAGGTTTTCCGTATTTCATTTTTTTTTAATTATTTTTATTTTTAGGCATGTCCGTGCCTACTCAGAGGCACGTCCGTGCCTATGAGGCAGAGAGATCAGGACTTTAATTTCCAGAGAGACACGTCCGTGCCTCCCCCGATAAAGAGGAACGGCTACTTTATTTTTTTTAATTTTTTTTATCTTTCTTTTTCATTCTCAAACTAAACCTTCAAAGCTTTCTCTCTCCTCCTTTCCTCACAACATTTGCCCCTCCTCCTTCAATTACTAACTCAATTTCTCAATTTTTTTTTGCATCAATCTTCAACATTTTCATCTTTCTACTCAATTCTCACACTCCATTAACAACAAAATTCAACCCAAAACCCAATTTGTGCAATTTTTCAAAGAACCCTAGATTTAAAAATCAATTTGGGGCTTTTTGATTTGAGACTTTTTGAAGCAATTGGGAAGCAAGAAAGGGATTCAAGGTGATTATCGCAACGTTTGTGGATCATTTGCGGGTATCTAACACCCACCACACCTTAGGTAACCCCTTTTCTCATACTTTATCTATCTAGGTTTTCATGGATAATTTTTATAAGTTGCTCATAACACATTGTTAGAGATTGTTGATTGTGTTTGGTTTGTTCAATTTGTTTTGATATTTGTGATTATAAGTTTGTGTAGTGTGATTGAGAAACTAATATTGATTTTGAAGCATTATTGAAGTATTGTGGATTTTTGTGAGTTTGTGGTTGATTAATTGATTGTTTCTTTGTGTGCTTGATTGATATACATTGCTTGAAAAATTGTAATCATG